GGACGTGGTCTGTACTTCTTTTTGGCCCAGGACAAAGCACCTTCGGGAGGATGGGCAAGCTGTTAGCAAATATTATCTGTATAAGAAGCAATGTGTTACAAGAATCTGAGAGCTAGCATCTTTAAAAAAACTTCTGAGACAGGTATGGAAACATGTGATTCAGCAAGTTTCGTATGCTTTCAATGATCCCTTTTACTTTGCTTTTTCTCATAGGCAGGTCTTTGCCCATTTCAGATAGCTCAGAAGACATGCCCCTCTCACATAACCACAGCAACAACACTTGCAGCTTTGCACTCTGCGGTAACAATGAAGAAACAGAGGTATTTCACCATGTAACTCTATAAAATAATTCAGTGAGTCTGTGATCTTAGTTTTCATATACAGCATGCTAACTCCCATTTAGCTGGGAACAACACTCTCCTGGATTTACCTTCTTGCCTTTACTCATGATAAGTACACTCTTTAAAATAATATTGCAATGGCTTACAAATAATATAGTACATTTCTTTATCAAGATATTCCTGCACAACTGTTGGACATTAACAGATATATGTTGCTAGTTAACATTTTAATTTTGGCTCAGGAAGAAGAGACTTTTAATCTTCAAAAGACAGAAAAATTACTAAAACCTCAGAATAAAGTGCCTTTTGTGACCACACACAGGAGAAGTGGCATAACTACAAATGACAACAAAGTACCTACAGACAGTTCTCCTGCTTTTCTGGATGCTGAAGCAAAGGTTTGAGCAACTTATGGTTCTGGCTTTTATACGATCAGCAACTGTCTTCTTTCCATTTGTGAACTGAAATAAAACACACCAAGAAAAAGAAAATCTTCCATTCCCATTTCCTCTGCTATGCAACGGACACAGAGCTTTAGGGATGGATCTGGCAACTTCAGGCACTGTGTTTACAGCTTTTTACTGGATATACTGGCATATCATTGCCCTGTGGGGAGCAGTACTCTCTGTTCCTTTGGATCCCACAATTCAAAACACATCACATCTTCAAACTGTAATTAACATTAGGTAGTAACTGTTCTGGATGCTATGTGCCAGATGTCAATTAACTTAAGGCTCCTTTATGCTGCCAGACAGTGCAAAGAGCACTCATAACAGTAAAATGAATGTGTAACATCCTGAATAGCCCTTAGTTACATAGTTAGCGTTACCTACAGCTAAGAACCATGTAATTTGTTTTGGAAGAGTGGATCTAGCTAATACTGGTACTTTATTACTTTGCAAATTGGTAACCCAATATTCAGACACAGTTCTGTTCTTTGTTCTTGTGTTTATTCTCTCCATCTCCTATAGTGTAGTTTCACCAGAATGCACTCTTGTATCCTCATTTTTGGACTTTCTCTATGCTATCTTTTGTTTTGCAAACTGAAGTTAATTGGAGTTAATGTGTAACATTTCTAGTTATGACTAAAAGATCAAAATTCATTACAAATGCAAGGCAATACCAGAAAGAAGGGCAGCTTTCCTTTGTGTGTATGAAAGCAAATGTCTTTTGCACAGTTGATTAAAATGAATGAAAATATGTTAAAAACATTTCTGTTTATACAACACTGACTGTGATGTTTTCATAATATAGCCTCCAAAATCAATATTGTCTAGAAGATCAGTGTTACATCAAGAAAGAAGAAAAAGTGAGGAAGAGGTGCAGGAAAAAATAGAGTATCATGATGGAAAGGTGAGATACAATAGGATGCAAAAATACTTGAAGAGATCACCAATAGGACTGCAGTATAGGTGGGAACCACTGCTTCGAGTAGCCAGAGACAATTATGTCTCCAATTAAGTGTCTGTTCCTTAAAGGAGAGCTGAAGTGTAAAGTTCACACCATGAATGGTAGGAAATATGTATAGCTCATGGGCTGGAAATCAAGTAACCAAATTATTTTCTTATCTCCCACATGGATTTGCTCTATGACTTTCACCAAGTCCTTTTCGTTTCAGCTACCTCATTTGTGGGCTGGGAGGAATGATATGCTTACCATTAGAAATGAATATGTGCTAGTGGGGTAGTGATGGTGGTTTACGGTGCAAGATTAAAGGCCATTCTTTTCTTTCCCTGGAAGTGAATCTAATGGCAGTGAGCTGTGCCAGCTGGACACCACTTGTGGGAGAAGTCTTCTGTTATACACAGCTGGCTACACCTGGAGTAGCATCAGCAGAGTTGTGCTCGCTGCTGCCTGTCCAGTTTGCTCAAGCCAGCTGTCAAAATCCCCAGCGATTCCCCAGTCGCATGTTGAGATTGCTTCCAGCCGCCCCTTGTCCTGAGGCCCATAGCTCAACGTGGCAGCTGGTTTTGCCCCTTTTCTGGAAAAGAGATGTCTCTTCAATTACACTACTCCAAGCAGGCTTATCCTGTTAAAACATTCCCTTGATATTGACTGAGGGTAATCTATGCCCAATTACAGTTGTCAATTCTGGGTAAGGTTTTTGGCTAAAGTTAAGACAGAAATTCACTTTCTGTGTGTTCAGTTCTGGGCTTCTTTTCTCACCCCACCAATACAGGTGCTGATTAATGATACCTTCCAGTGAGTAGTCATAGAAATGGCTTTTGCAATGTAACAGTTCTTCAGGGAATACTAGTTTGAGATGCCAATTCTTTTACAGCTAATGCTGAGATGGGCTCTGTGAAAGCTTCTACCAATCACAGTTCCCTCTTGTAAAAGTAGAAAATACAATATCTGTCGTTTTGATCCTCAAAAGAAAAATAATTGTGAAAAAAGTCACTCTGACATTTTTACCACTGGATTTTATTCATAAAATTGAGTGGTGGGCTGGACTTTCTTGTGCAACTAGAGAGAGAGGTCCAAATGGGGATTGATACCTTTAGAAAGAGATAGTAACTCTCATTTAAACTATGTGGAACTTCTTGTAGCAATGCCTTTTGTCATAAGTAGGTGTAAGAACATCTTTCCATTACTAAGTAGTAATTTTAAAATAAAATAATTTCTAAAAAACTAAATTTTGCCCTCAGTAATCATTACAATGCCTGTTGGGGAAATACTTCATTTCTCTTCCCCCAGGCATATTTATTCCTTTTTTTTTTTTTTTGGTTGGGAGGTATTCCCTATTTGTGGAGAGTCTGATAATATTGGAACCATATGGCAGAGCTATAGTGCACCTTCTGCTTGTCTTCTTCCTTGGACTTCACCAAATGAATTATATTATGGGGTTTGGTATATGCTGAACAGAACCAGCTGCCATAGTAATTCCAGGAAAACTGATTAACCAGAGGCTATGCTAGGTATGAAGTCTTCTTTGACCAATGTATTTTTTGTAGAAGGGCACACTGATGACATTATTGCCCACTTGTTAAGAAGTCTTCAGCAATTTTGCAGATCTCTGCATGCAGCCACATTTGTTCAACATCTTTATCAATGATCTGGATGAGGGGGTTGAGTGCACCCTCAGTAAGTTTGCAGACGACACCAAGTTGGGCGGCAGTGTTGATCTGCTTGAGGGTAGGAAGGCTCTGCAGAGGGACCTGGACAGGCTGGATCGATGGGCCAAGGCCAACTGTATGAGATTCAACAAGGCCAAGTGCCGGGTCCTGCACTTTGGCCACAACAACCCCATGCAACACTACAGGCTTGGGGAAGAGTGGCTGGAAAGCTGCCTGGCAGAAAAAGACCTGGGGGTGCTGGTTGACAGCCGGCTGAACATGAGCCGGCAGTGTGCCCAGGCGGCCAAGAAG